CAATACTCATTTTTTAGAAAACCATGAATTTTGTTCTTTTTTTGAGAGAAAAATATAATGGCATTGCAAGGCACCAAGAGTGTGCCACCATGTAAGAAAATATTTCCAACTCTCTTAAGGAGAAAAAGGTCAATAAGATCAAAGAAATTGGTCCAAAAAAATATGAAATATGCTAAGCAAATGATCCCCAACGGCAGCAAGACTGCCAAAGGGGAAGAGACTTGCTCAAAAGCTGTCTTGATTCTCTCTTTTCAAAGACCCAGAAATTATTTTTTTTTTTAAATAAAAAATGAAAAATATATTAATAAAATGCACCAAGGGGGTGCAACCCGCATTTGAAAGTATTTACATCTCTGTAATGCTATCTACGACGTGCCCCAACTCTTCAAATCTATGCATGTCGTGTCCCAAAAAATTAGAATCAAAATAGTGTAACCAACTATCCTTAATCTTTACAATATCCCTTTCCAAAGACCCATAAATTATATCGGGAATAAGGCACGACAAGTTCTTTTGGCTCAGACACTGATGTACTATTCCAAGCCCATAGTTTATTCTTACTGCATTAACTGAGCTGAGGTCCAAAAGATGGAGGTATAATCCCAAAGCTCTGGATAGGTCCCGACAGAAGAAGATGGCTTAGGATTCACTCTCCTTATTGCATAAAGACACCCATTTATCAAAATTCTGCCCCTTCATGATATTATCAATAGTCCAACTCCTTCATCATACAGTCTCCCAAGTTTAGGGGGAAAGAAAACGCAATTCTCCAGGCCACCTTCATCTTTTCTGAATTCATTCAAGTTTTACTTGCTCCATCCTCTTTCTGCTTTGTTATTGAGTTTTCTTTTTCCACAAAAAGTATATTTTTTCCATAAAAATAAATTTTTTGGGTTTTCAGTAAGACAGCACCAAGTCAAGAAAATAGCACGTTTCCCAGTGTCTAGTGTGATGCGAGGCCAAGACAGAAAAGAGAAACAATAATAAAAAAGGAAGCACAACATTCTAATAAAATATTGCAGTACTGCTATTAAATTCACCAAAAAAAGGATAACTTTGCCAATAGTTAGGCAGCACTGCAAAAACAAAAACTTCAACATACCTTCCAAATAAGTTGTCTGGTCCCCAACAATAGATGGTGACTTGTTATAGGCACTATCAGTAGCTTGTTGGTCCACATATACAATATGCGGATATTTCTCATCTGTTGCAAGAAGACTGGACTGAAAATGAAAAGGAATAACAGATAATCTAATAGATTCAGTGTAATAAGAACAATCTATGCATGATCTTAAACAATAAAGTAGATGCAGTAGTTGATAAGTCTCACCTTCGGAAGCTCATGTTGACGCCGGATTGATGATGTACTCCACCCAACTATATCTTGAAGATTGGTTAAGACACATTATTTTTATAAATACAAACAACAGTCCCTATATAGATAAATTTCAATAGTTCAAAAGTTAGCCTTAAACTGAAAAGGATACGATCATAATTTGCATTTGCATAAGCCACACGGCGCTTAAATGCATGCAACGCTGATCTATACAGGTCATAAGAAAGATATATTACTCATTTGTCCTTAAAATCAACTAATCCTAGACCAACTGAAAATAGGTGCATGGAACAAATTAAAACTAACATGAACTTTACGTCATCAGAATCATTAACCATTCGAAGAAGGAGAGGAGGTTTTCCATCATCACAATCAGTTAGGAAAAGATGATTTCCTGTTCGCCCAACAATTAAATGTGCAGTTTGAGATGCTCTTCTCTCAAGAAAAGGAAGACCACAGAGAAATGGGAGCTGTAAGAACAAAAACGAAAAAGAAAGATATACATTTATATTTAAAAGTGAATTCTATGTTCGACAGTTACCATATGAAAAACAATCACTCAAAACAAACATGGAAAAAGGCATTTTGGTTCCATGTATAGAATGTGGATAGCAAACACTTTGAACTTCTCTTAGGTCCAAACTACTTCATAGTTTCCAAGCATTCATGACTCCTTTACTCAATTATTTTGGACTTTCAAGCCAATTTCCTGGGGTAAACTTTGTGAAACTTAAATTTCCTGAAACCCTAAATAGTTTATCTATATCAATAGCCAATTATACTTTTTACTAAAATTTAAGATAGTAAAATAAGTCAAGAAGTTGAATCATACAAAACTTAGAAGAAATAGTTGAATCCCCATTCTATCATCAATAAATTAAAGTAAAATGTCTTTTCAAAAAAACAAAAAACAGAAAACAAAAGAAAATAGAAATGTTCTCATAATTTGCTAGCCAGCATGTAATGAGATGTAAAGAGAACCGAAATCCCAAGCTACAGAAAAGCATTCTAAATTCACCTGTTTATGCCCCCTTGACCCAAGATGCGGTGTTGCAAATGTTATAAAGTTCATAGGTTCTAATCCAGCAATTCTGTCCTTGTAAGGCTGCTCCAGGCATTGCATTGAGTTGTTCGTAGTCTCATTTAAGGAGTTTCTAGAAAGACACGAAGGGTCGAATTTTGATGGACATTCATACAGCCTGCCAATGGCGTACCTTGCAACAAGACCTCCCAGGGAGTGGGCCACAAATGAGATCTTCCTGACAGAAGTCCTATGTTTGACAACAGACAAGACCTGTACATGATATAAATCAAGGTTTTCAATTGATATGCCCAGGTTATCCAGTTGCAAGGTATGTACAAATTAGTTAAATACATTACCACATGCAAGAAACATGAGAATTATTCTATTGCTTCTTATAAGAATAAGAGGAGTATCACCAAATACCTCTTCGGCTAACCTTTCACCCATTAAATCGACACCATCAAATGTCAACTTTGAGTAGTTGCATTTGCTTCCTGCCCTCAGAAAGAAACAACAAAAAAAATGTCAGGAACAGCTTTACTCAATTGAACTAAGATTTTGCTCCTTCCAAATTTAGTTTTTACAATTAACATGGAGTGAAAATAAAAAATAGGGTATAACTAACCCGCATACAAAGGTAGGACGCAAGAAACCTAGAACACCAAGGAACGTCACAAACCATGAGAGCTATATCCTAAAATCTGAAACATCAAGGAACTTGATGAAGAACCCTAAAAAACAAATCTACCGGCCATGAAGGACAAACGAAAAGACATCATAGAGATCCAATTATGATATCCACTAGAAAGCAATCCGCATAATTAAAAGCCATCTTTTTCAGTCTGTCCTTCCCCTTCCTAGCCCAATATGATGGGGTGGAACCATCCTTCAAAATTTCTATATATCCTTTTTGTGGAATTCTTTTCATATTTTCTGCAAGAAAATGAATCTTCAACATTGACCTTTTGATTTTGACTAGACTAAGTAATTACATTCATATGTTTCTTTTTCCTCTGCCAGAAGAATTATGTTCTTCATGTTGCACCTCTATATCTCTATTCCATTGTAACAAAGGACCAAAGAAACATAATGATGGCATAAAGAACCATGAGAAAACTATCTTTTCAATAAAAAAGGTTATATAAAAGCATCTGATACTCACTTAACAACAGCTTTTTCCAATTTCAAACAAAATAAGGACATCAATTAATATATACATGGTATAGTATTCACCTCATTGAACAAATTCAAAATGAAAAGGCTCCTCTTTCAGCATCTGGTCAGTTGAGTACAGATCATTAACCAAAGGGGAAACTCAGTTACATGACATGAGACCCCTTAAATTATCCAAGAAATGCAAGATTAAATATTTAATTAGCACGCTATATATTATCAATAATCTTCTTATGTACAAGGCAAAACAGAGTAGGGGGATCAGGTGTAACAAGAAACACTCACGGTGTACAATTACTTTATCAGGTAGCTTTTTCACAAACTGCTCTGCAGCATACTTCCAATCTGCAGCACTGTGGACAAGAATGTTCATATTAGCACTTTCCACACCCAGAGAGAGACACATACGTAAATATCAATTCTCTAATATTGTGCGCGGTTGGACTTTTAAAATGTGAAACCCCTTCAACATTTGCATCAAAAATAATATTAGGGCTTTGATTAGCACCATGTTAAAGATATAGCCTTAATTTTTTTTTTAGGAGAAAAAGTATTTTCTATATATGGGTACCAAAAGGGTGAAACCCATATACAAAAGTATTTGCACCTCAACCAAAATATCAATCAGTTCCCTTATATCCTCGCTGGAATATAATAGCTGTCCCTTAAAAAAATAAGGATCAGAAAAGAGGATCTAAGGTCTCCTATTTTTTAAGGGGAAAAAAAAGATCTATGCTCTGTAGAGATTTGACGGCTAGGGCCCTATAACTAAAGAATTAAATGCTAACTTACTTAAATGCTTATCCAAATCATAAATTCTTATGATTTTACGAACCTTTACAAAGTAGAGTCCTGGTCCATATCATGGAAAGAGATTAGAATCCAATTCTAACCACAATCCTATCATCACAATTATTAACATGTTTACAAGGTTATAATTGAGCTACAGTTCAGTTGCCAACCTACTCATTCAAGAAGTTAAGAAAAAAGAATTTATCTTTCGCACAGAGAAAAGATTTTAAGGCATTATATGATAACCCTTTAATGGATCATGACAGTAAAAAAATGTCATAAGGAGAAGCTTAAAAGTCTGTTCACGAAAAAATTTCCCCACCACGAATAATCATTACCTACAGGCTCCAGAAATCCTGATGATACTTTACTGTAGGCAAAATGACAATAAAGAACGTAAAATTACAAGCAGGGGAAGTTCAAGGTAAAAGACAAAACTCGAAGACTCAAAATAAAAGCTGTTTCCTGAAATGAATTAATGTCTTAATGTTCCCCAAATATCGATGATTTCCCCACGTTTGACATTTAGCTTTCACGAGCACTAAGTCAACTATGAGATTTATACACCTTCCAAATTTAAAAGCCATATTCTTTCACTATACTTAATCAACAAACAGAAAAGTAGTCCTTAAGCAAACTTTGCTCTTCAGTCGATAAGACAACCCGCTATTATCACTCCTGAAGTGAGCTCGAGGAACTCCACAACCTCAATCTAAAACAGAAAAGTAAAAAACAGAAAGATAATGACAGAATTAAGAAATTACAAGTGGTGCAGACTCAATACTCTCTGACTAGAAGCTCAGTACAAAATTCTCAAATTTCCACAACCATAACCTAAAGAAGTGAAGTTGAAAAAGAAAGATTCTGAGAGAAACAGAAAAGAGGAGCAAAGATAATACCTGCCAACTAGTCCATTGACCATGATAACGAGATGCTCTGGAGAGGCGCCGGACTCCATAGCACCGGCGTCGAAAACATCCTCGCCGCAACTATCGAACTCCACTTCCAGTCTTCTGGTCGGTCTCTCCTTGAAGCAACCGCCAGCCATTCTGCCGATCCAGTCCATCCTCCGCTGATCAAATAGTATCGTCAATTCGACGCCGAATCTCGACTTCGACCTGAACCCTAGGTTGAAGCAGACAGGCGGCTGGGAGTACCTAACAATCGGCGCAAGCTTCAACGGCGAGTTCGCGGTTCCGAGCGATGAGATGGAGGAGATCATGTGGAGAGAAGCATGGAGGAGGGAAGGAGAATGAGAGAAATCGAATTGAAAAGGAATGAAATGTATGGAGAAAGGAGATCTTAAGAAGAAAGGAACAGTGTTGTTGAGAGAAACGTGAAATGCGTGTAAGATGTGGGGATCCAAGTATCCGTATCCGAATCCGAACTTCTTCGGAACCAGCGAAGGATGTACCCAGTCAATCCCCATGACTGCCATGACAAGAACGTATAAAAAGGGGAAAAAGTGTTTACAGTTATGGAGGCGCCAAAGGATGATGACAGTTACCGACTTGAACAGCCAAAACATTTCATGGGCTTTTCTGCTCAAGAAAAAACAAAAATTAAAAAAAAAAAAAAAAAAAAGTAAAAACACTATTAAGTGATAAATATAAAAAAGTTCACATTTTGTTTAATTAATTATCTAAATTTTAATTTTAATTTTAATTATTATAGCATAGAGCATGTTACCATATTAAGCAAACTATACTATATTTTCCATTTTCATTTAATATGCTAATATATTATTAATGTTAGTATACCATTGACTTGTCAAATTAGACATGACTGACACTATATTTGACATTTGAATTTAAAATATTTATCAACACATATTAATATATTAATAACACGACATTATATTTTTTATATTTTAAAATAAAAAATATATTAATATTAATTATAAATATACATTCTATGTAAAGACAAACCATTAAAACACAAATATAAAACCAATGTGATAATTATAGTTAGAGACAAATTTTTAAATATTATTTATTTAAATTTTAAAATATAAAAAAATTAATAAGATCGTACACATAATATTTGTTTACTTAAATTTGAAAATACGAAATAAAATTTAATGTTTAATTAATTATAAATCACATCGTCTATATTTTATAATATAAAAATAAATTTGATAATATATAATAATTATTTATTTAGAGTTTTAAATTATAAAAATACAATTCAATTTTCAATTAATTATAATTTATATATTATTATAATGAATTTTTAAAATAATAATTTATGTAGGACATGGGATTAAATATCTAGTTAAATAATTAATTTGATACAGTGTGAAAAATAAGTATTTAATTAATTAAAATCAAATTTTAGATTTGGATTCAAATGAATTTTAATTTGAACCATGCGTTAAATGGGTGGGCTGGACTTGAACCAAGACTGGACCCTGTTTGCATAAAATCGTTTAGACCCAATTGAAATTATACATGTAAAATAATGAGAAATATAAACAGAGTACAGGCAGCATAATCTTCTCTTTCTTTTTTTTTTTTTTTTACTTTTTTTTCTAAAATAATAATTTAATTAGTCTTCCTTTTTCATTATATTCGTATATACACTTAATTATTATTTATTATTGTTTCCTTAAAAAATTATTAGTAATAATGTGTAAATATATTTTATGCACAATATATGACTATAATACATATACATGAAAAAACCCACCCATCAATTAATTAGTCATGCTTGTGTTTTCTCCATCGCGAACTTAAATTTTATAATTCTATTATAAATTAATAATGAACGATTTATAATGTTTAAATTAATAATAATTAAAAAATTAATTTATTAATATATTAATAGAATTACAAAGATAAAATTAAGTTAAATTTTAATGAATTCATTATATATATATAGGTTAAAAAAATATTTATTGACGACTAAATTTATTTAATTTGTTAATGTGTTGATGAAATTATAACGATTAAAATTAAAATTTAATAAATTTATTATATTATTAAATAAAAAAAATATTTCTTAATTACTAAATTTTTTTAATTGAGTAATAACAGCATGTTAAAATTTTCATTTATTTTTATTTTAAAAATATATTATACCTCTTAAAAATCAAACAAATTGTGAGATGCTGCCACGTTGATTTTCTAGAAAGAACGATGGTGGGCACACACTGTCGTATAATAAGAACGATTGAAGTTCACGGGCACAACATATCTTATGTTCACGAGACCCTCTAACTCAATCACACAATTATATACCATTTAAAATTAAATTCGCACCACAATATTAAAAAAAAAAAAAAACACGCATGTGCATGACTACACTCTCCAATTAAAACCCACCCCAAAAAAATCCAAATTTATTTCTTATTGAAAGCTTTGCAATCCACACACCACACCCTCTTGATCTGTGTGTTTCTACACTCGATAAATTTAATTTTACCAATAAAAATTGAGTAATCTTCATAATAAATATTGTAATCGATTCATTTTACCGTTTTAATTAAACAAAATTCACCAAGTGTCGTATAAAACCCACCAGCCTTCCAAAATTTAGTCCCACAAAACCACTCACTACTCGACTCCTCCGGAAGGTTTAGAAAAATAAAAAAAAATGAAAACCCATTTGCTGTTTCTCTTCATTAATCTCCTCTTTGCTTTCCCCAACACCAACATTCTCTCGGCATCTTCGCAATCAATCCCCGCACTAGACCAAAAACCAACACTCGACAACGAGACCATATACAAAGTGTCAAAGCAACTTTGCTGGGGTTGCGTAGGCGAGGCCCTCCAGTTCTTGTTCGCTCATAATCTGGTCCGAGCAGCCAAATGGGAGGCTCCGCTCATGTGGGATTTTCAGCTACAGCGATACGCTCAATGGTGGGCGAGCCAGAGACGAGCGGACTGCAAGCTGCAGCACTCGTTTCCAGAAGGCGGGTTCAAGCTAGGAGAGAATATTTATTGGGGTAGCGGCACGACGTGGACGCCGAGCGACGCGGTGGGTGCGTGGGCTGGTGAAGAAAAGTACTATGACTATACTAGTAACTCGTGCCGGGAGGGACAGATGTGCGGGCACTATACTCAGATTGTGTGGAGAACGACGAGGAGAATCGGGTGTGCTCGTGTTGTTTGTGTCGATGGAGATGTGTTTATGACTTGTAACTATGATCCTCCTGGAAATTATATTGGCGAGAAACCATACTGATCATCTTCTTCATCATGTTTACTACTAGTACTCCTGGGTTTTAGTTACGTAGTGAGATATATACCTCTCATAGTTATGCAAAAGATTATTTTGTTATGCTATGTTATATGTAATATGCATTTAGAAAAAGAAATAGTTATCAAAATATGCAACACTGGAATTCATATTTACATATATATAATTAAATTTCCAATTAAGTCATGTTATGATCATCATGTAGTACTGTTTACCCTTATGTGTATGTATATATATATATATATATATATATATTATATTCATGTAGCTTTACAAAGGTGATGTAAAACTACAATAAGCTAGAGGGTTATCCTCGTTGCCAGATCCTGACTATTGAAAATAACAATTTATAAATTTGAAATGTCTAAACTCTCCATTACAAAAGAATTAAGTTAAAAATATAATAATTAATATATTTATTTTGATTTTTTAAAAAAAATATTTTATATATTAAAACTAAAATTTTAAAATTGTGTTAATGTCTATATATACTTATTTGAATATTTATAGTGACTATTACAATTAAAAATTGAATATTTTTACCAGTTTCTTCTTATTTTATCTCCAATTTGTAACAAAATATTAGATAGAGTTAATGTATCTTCTAACATTTTTTTTCACTAACAGTATCATAACAAAGGTGATAGTTGGCTTATTCCCGGCATTTTTATTATTTTTGCCTCATTTTATCCAAGTAAAATGCTTAAATACCAACAGACACAAAATTTATTTTGTGTCAGACTCTTTTAATTTTCAATAGCTTTTCAATATTAATTACAAACATCATTGCTTTTTTTATTCGTATATAATATTCATATACTTGTTTAATATAAATCAATCCGGAAGAGGGAGTTATAATTCTTTAAAAGTACAATCAGGGCTCCAAAAAGGCAAAAACTGAACAGCCCCGATCTCTCCTGTAAATCATTATGAATATATACCAATCCAGATTGCAGAGAGTTGGAGACCATTAAACCAGCAGATAGCAGTAGCTAAAGCAGATTAATAAATTTATAATACTGCATTTTTTACTTACTGACTTTTTCTAAACATTGGCAAGCTTAAATTTCTACTAGTTGAAGATATATCATAATAGTTTTATAGATAATAATTAACAAAAAATGGAAGTCTGAGAAAGACACACCAAAAGACTAATATATATAATCAGTAAGGCCTTTCGCCAATGTAATTCCCAGGGGGATCGTAGTTGCAAGTCATGAACACGCCTCTACCACCAACGCAAGTCACTCTCGCGCACCCAATTCTCCTTGTTTTGCTCCACACAATCTGCGTATAGTGTCCACATTGTTGACCTCCGGCGCATGAGTTGCTCCAATGGCTATACCATTTCTTCTCCGCCACCCACGCGGTGGCTGCCTCAGCCGGCGTCCACCCAGTGCCGCTTCCCCAGAAAATGTTCTCGCCGTACGGCCCGTCGGAGTGTCTTAGGGCGCAGTCGTAGCGTCTCCGGTTGGCATACTGCTGTGCGTAGTAGGCTAATTTGGCATCCCACGCTAATGGCCGCATCTTGAGTGCGTAGCGAGCGGCATTTTGAGGACCCAGAAACTGGTTCCTCTGGCTCAGATAGCTTGTAGCAGTACTGGTGGTGGTGGTGGCTGCATTGGCGCCTGGTAGGAGCAAGATTACAAGGGCGACCGCCAATGGGAAGAAGAAATTATGGCGTGATAAATTCATTATGATTTCATAAAAGGGTCATTCTGCTAAAAGGGTATAGTATAGATATATAATTAAAGATGTAATGAGTGGTGGTTGGATAAAAAGGCAGTACAGGAAATGTCAACTATGTGGTGGCATCCATGTTCGATTATGATTACCACTTTTTTTTTTTTTTTTGGTGGGACAAAGATTTCAAAGCATATTACTTTTCTTAGATTGCATCATTTTTGTGGTGGCTTTCTTTCTTTATTTTTTATTTTCATTTTTT